TGCACTCACTACAAACACTACAAACAGGTTGCTATCAAGCAAGATACGAGTCTACCAATGCAGGAATTGCGTCACCATAAACCAAATGGTTTTGCAAACACGCTTGAGAGCAAAATTCTTAAGAAGATCTCAGTAAGCTAGCCAATAGAATGAGAAGTTGGAAGCTATCATTCAAGTGATCTCGTAGTCTGGTGCATTTTTCTATGCGGAAGTAAAGGTGCGTTGGCGCTGCTCATCTAGTTTGGTCGGTTTTGCCATCACTAAAGCGACATGTTCGTATGTGTTTGCAGCCACCGGTAGGGACGGGTAGTTGTACAGGTGTTATTGTAAAGCGACGAATATTATAGAAACCGATTTTTTGATGGCTTTTATTCAAGATTGAAAAGTCATGTCTAAATAGGAACTGTGTCATACAGCATGGAAGCTCTGTATGGATGCCTTACACAAGACTTAGCGTTCTAAGATATGTCTTTTCTGTGTTTATATGGAAGATGAACAAAATTAGCAGCGAAAAAGGCATTAGAGCGTTTAGTAGAGGGATGTGAAGGTATTAGCATGGAGCATCACAGTTTCGCGAGCATAAACATCCAAACGTTAGGATGGGAGCTATCCACTGGTTTGTTTGGATTTTGCCTGAATTTGCAGGGCTGATCTTTATCTATTCGATGATGCTAGATAGGAATAGGCAAGTTTTGACGCAACAAGCAAATCGTGTTTCAAAGATGACATCGAAAAAGAAAGGGGAACAAGTTGTTGCTTAAGCCCAATCCTCAAATTCTCGTATATTCGAGATCCGGCACGCAACAGTTTAAGCCCCAGGGATAAGAAAGCCACCTCGTTTTTCAGAGATTCGGAGGACTTTCTTAGGTTTGGAGGCGGGCTAGGGTGATCTATACAGCATCTATGCTCGGCCGTTGTCAAGTTCCGCCTGATGTATTTTCTTTGCTTCAAGCCTCTCATTCAGATTGTTTCTAAATAAACCCATTCTCACTCTGCTCATTTTGTCATTTGATGTGCTTGCATATCGCCATTGGTCAACCAGCTCGTTTGACGGTGCTAAGCATATTGTTTTGTAACCGCAACTTGAGCTCTCATATTCCCTTTTATCCTGTGCCTTAGTGGAGTATAGTTTTTATCGAGAAACAAGTAATCATGTTGAGCGAAAACGGTTTTAGGTCTCCTATTCCACAGCCAATCAAGCTTGATTGATTGCGGTGCAACAGCTGACATAGCGGAGTTATAGGATGATCTCGACTAGCTCATTTGGCTGAATTGCTTTTCTCACCACCGGAGACGATGCGCGTAGAGAGTTCAACCTGTCACACAAAACCGCCAGACATGAGTATTATTATTGTCTCAGCGTGCAACAAAACAGCTCCATGACAAACGGGCAGGATCGGGAAATGACCATAGGATCTTGAACCCAAAAAACATTTTAGGGGTGTAATTTGCAAATGCTTTTCGCTCGAAGTCTACTACAAAAAAGTGATATTTGTAAACATGAATATTCTATTTGCAACTCTACAGTCGCATAGATACAAATTCATGTTTTGCGGATCGTTTAGTCACGGGCCAGCTTCAGGGAGAGACTAGAGTCGTGCGTGATATATAAACTGGTTGTTCCTGAACTCAAATGCAGTACCAACAGCTCACTCATCAGCACTTATCATACCACACTTTTTACGTTCTTTATCTGTGAATCAACTCTGATCATGCACTTCACTTCTATCGCTACGCTTTTCTCGGTCTTGGCTGCTGCCAACGCTCAACTCACATTCAACATTACGCGAGCTTCTGCTCCCGGAAATATGGCGAAATATCGCTGCTTGTATGTTTCTTATAACCTGGGATCTGTATTATAATTTGAGCTAACATAAAGAACCAGGAACAACAATAAGCTCAAAGGCTGGCTTCCCAGTTGCATTTATGAATGCCAAGTCCAAGCCAGCATGCTCGATGGCTGCGCAGCCGAAGACTTTGCCTGCCACTGCGTAAACCACTACAAGTACTCTAAGGTACATTCCTTCCACACCTTCCGCCCTTCACCAGCTACAAGTCTTGAAATCTGACAATGAGAAGTTGATCGAGCCCTGTACTGTCCCTCCCGGACTGGGCGGCACGGGTCATTGTACCGTGAATGATCTTTACAACGCTCGTCCCGTTATCGACGAGATGTGTAACTTTTATAATGCCACAATTTATAAAAGTTATGAGGGCTGCCCACAGAGACTGAGTCGGACTGTCACTTATGGGATTATCATGAATGAGGGCGTTGTGATAACTCAGTAGAGAGCTGGATGATGCGTGGGCCTTTGGGGTTTAGGAGTTAGCGTGTAATAAAATCCTGTGCGTTGAAATTTTATATATGATACAGTGATGAAGGACTCTGAGAACCATATAGGTTTGTCTGATGTTGAATTTGACGTGAGGCTACTAGACAAGGTCTCAGTATCACGGGAATATAAGTCGCCCTTCACTCGAAGTTCATTTTGCTCTTACCTATTAGGTGTTCCCGAACTGACTCAATACCATCACAAGAGAACAGCCAATACGTACCAAAGAAAGATATAATTCACTAAAGGAGTCTACGCTATATCAACAAATCACAAAATGCCAGAGACGTACGGGGAATACAAACAGCATGGTGGGCGTCGTGGCGCAATCGCTAGCCAAGGTGGGAAGGATGGCGGCAAGTAGCAATATTTTGTTTCTCTTCGCTCTGTTTGAAGAATGTGTGAGTGAGATACAGAACATCTCAAGTAAGTGATGTACTACTCACCGAGTACAGGTTGTTCGTTCACCGACGAATTGACCAATGGCATTAAGCTGATTCGCCTGTCCCAACTCTTCCCTGATATAGACTAGCGCATAAAAGGCTTGGCATCGCAGCTCGGATTGCATCTTTCTAGCAACATCGTCACGACCGACCGCTCATCCCATTGCACGTCCACACCCGCACCTGACATCTTCACAATGGCTCTCGGACCCGAATCCCAGGCAAAGACCAAGACCACGTATGTCTCGGCCCTCCCCGCACGCCACGGCACCCGCACCCGCCTCGAAAGATTCCGCGCCCCAACCCGCATTCCATAGACGGCACACGTGTGCATGGCCGACTAGAGTGGAGCGCATGCTGACGATAGCATAGATGGCACATCGGCGCATGGGGTAACCCCTACGAGGGCGGTGGCCGACCCGGAAAGGGCATCGTCACCTACCAGCTGAGCCCCAACCGACAGCGCCCCATGGCCAACTTCCTCAGCAAGGGCTTCTGGAACGTTGTGCGCCGATCCAAGAATCAGGTTCTCTACATCGTTCCTCCGCTAGTTCTCGGATACGGAGTTATGCAGTGGGCAATCGAGAGGTGAGTTCATGACGCTGGGTTCAGATGTGAAATGGAAAGACGATGGGTAGGACGAAACCGTAAGTATTCCGGAAGGCTAACGGTGAGACTAGGAACGAATTCCTCAACTCGAAGCCTGGCCGTGCTCTGTACGCCGATGAGGAGGAGTAAATGCGCTGAGCAGAAGTGACGAGAGGCTGGCTTGATGGAATGTAGTGCATGTCGTTGAAAGAATCAAGTGGAGGATACACGCAGCATGCTAGTCATTGTAGCGAGACGACAAATAGACTGTACAACCACGACCTGAATCTATACCTTTCTGTTTGTTTGACTTTGTAGGTGCCCTGTCGGCTCCTTCGGATTGCACGTGTGCGTTTTCGAACCATGGTACATAACAGTCTTCTGACAGTGACTGGCTATGGACACAACAAGCCTGGTTCAATAGGTAGTAGCACATTCTTAAAATCATGTAGTCTCAATAACCCAAAGGCTGAATAATAAAACATTGCGGCATACCAAGAAATCCCAATAGTTAAAATTCCAATATCCTTTATCTTGTAAACCAAAAACTAAGAGTTGGGTATTTCCGGTATAAATACGCACATGATTCTAAGCCATAACAGGCCAGTGATGTTGTGTGAATCGTTGGGGAAGAAACGAGAAAGGGGGTGTACGTTTGATGTAAGGCACGCGCGAGTCAAGTCGCTATAGACGTCACAGCAATGGTTACTGTCTGTAGTGGGGGCTTGAGTGCAGCCTTAGTCAAGGGAACGAGCCAGAGAAATGGAATAGGTTACTCTGTGGAGACATCTTCGACGTCTCTTAGTCTAGATATGAGGATGCCCCTAGAAGGCAATCTTCATAACGACAGTATCACTCAAACAGCGACAAATAGCTCTCGACCATAGCTATCACAACTTATCGGTGGACTCTCGAATTGATCAGCACAATTATCGTATAAAAACCGGTATGGCTCGACTTGAATGCCGTTATATTTAATACCGCAAGCCTTTTCGATAGTTTGGGAACTGCTGGCACTTTGGTTCATTCGTGTGGGACACGAGTATTCTTAGGAGATTCTTGGGGAAACTTGTGTACAACAGTTGCGTACTGTTTGTGAAAGTTCTACGGCACAGTTTATGGGCTCGGTGCTACACATACTTGCATCACACATACACGATGACTGCGCCGCAATCTGATAGCAGGCCAATTATTTTCACTAAGAGCCTACCAGTTAAGTCTAAAATATCGTAACCATACAGTGTGATCAAGTATTGGGTCTGTAAGTGCGCCTACGGACCAATTGGGTCTGGAGTTCTCGTTGCGATACAGCGTATCGGTGAATGAGGCACACTCTTATTGGATACAATAAATCGATTATGATTGTGACGAGGACACCGGACTAGCGAACTACGATTACGACGAAGGCAGCAGCAGCTGCTTCACTTACGTTTACCATAGCCGGAATCACTAGTAAAGGTGGGTGAGGTACTTCGTAGGCGGTGACTGTCGAGGGGAAGCTGCCCACTCCAATTGATAAAGCAAGTCTCGATGGTCTGGCTTTTACCAAACAGCCACTACCTTCTTAGATCTTCATTCAAATCTCTTCTCTCTCCAACATCAGATCTCACGAAAATCGTTACTACTACCATCGACCATGTCTTCTCGCCTCATATTCCTCATCATTTACGCGGCTCCGCAAGGTCGACGTGCCCACTTTAGTATATGGGTTCCTGAGGAAGAAGATGCGCCGGAGGGAACCATCATCCATGTGATTGGTGGTCCCCCGTTTGGATTCAAGCTGGAATTCAAACGCAAGTACAAACCAGAGGCTACCCAACGTATCAAACAGGTGATCCCAATCGGGTCCGTCTTGGCAGAGCATTTGCATCACTCAGGAAGCAACCCTGGAGCGCAGGACATGCCACGAAACAATCTTGAGAGGGCAGCGACACAGATCCAGCCGCCCAGAGCTAATCCAGACTTCCTGACGGTAAGTGTAGAGTAAGACTCTTAACGAAATGTGCGTCTGCTAACAGATACAGACGGCGAGTTCTGACTGCCAGACATGGATGTTGGAATATGTTCGTCGTCTTATTGCTCTCGGATACCTTGATGAAGCGGCTATAGACATAGTTCAGTCAAACCAAGACCCACCGCAAGTTGGCATTGGACTACGATCCGTTGCTGATGCGCAAAAAAAAACCAACAGTGATCTGTATCAACCACAACTGGTTGGTCAGAGGATAGCCAGTACGACCAACACAGGCCCTGAGACGGTAGAAAGTGGGTTCGGCAGGAGTGAGCAGGCTTAAGTCTTTATGAAGTTAGGTTTGGTTTGCTATTAGGTTTACGGGTACTCTCAATTCATTTGACTTTTATTACTGAGCCCATTGATGTGCTATGGAAGATGAAACCTCCGCTAAAAGTGGTAAATTTAAAATATGCCGAGGGTGCGCATGTAGAAATCAAATGTCTCGAACTCTGGTGGATAAGAATCCAAGAACTGATGGATATAGTCCCACCACTCTTTGCCCCATTCTGCTGTGAACAAAGCTTTACAGTATTCCCAATAGTCCGGATACCAACCTGACAATTGCCAATCGATGATTGCGACAACCTTAGCAGGACTCGTGGCGCTGACAATGATGTTACTACGATGTAGATCACCATGCGTAAAAGTAATTGGCCCATCATCTGGAAGGCAGTCCCTCCATGGATCCGGGATGCTTTGTGGATCTGGAGCACATTGGCGCCACGACCAAGAAAGCCAGTCGTGGAACTCAGCTCGAGAGGGAAATGGCCTTACCGAAGGTATTTCTTTCACGCAGATATCTTCCCCAGCACCATGACATATAGTTCCTGTAAGCATTTAGCGGGGTCACACCTAACTACCCAAAACACTTACCAATGATTTTCTGTGATTCACTGTCCCGGAGGGTCCGAAGAGAAGATATCATGGCACGTAGATCAGTACAGATTGCTCGCTTGTCAGCGCAAGACAGCTCAGGCCACCGTTCTAGGAGCGTGGGGCCCTGGACAAGTTGCATATAGATGAAGACGTATCGACCCCTTCCTTCCTTTTCAAGAACTCTCCATCCATAAACTTCTGGTACCGGAACAGCTTCCTGGAATATCCTGCGGACAGCCCAAAGGTTGATAGCCTCTGTTGTAGTGATACGTTGCCCGAATTTGACAACAAGACCGAGGTCTTCAAATTTCATTGTGTTGGATTGATGGCTCTTTGGAAAGAGGGAAAGTAAGTATTCGGGTGTCGGGAATCGTCGTGTTCGGCCATAAGTCTTAAACCACGTTGTATCGAGAAAGTCTTTTTGAAGCTGGGAGCCGTCTGGAAGGTCCGCAAGGGAGATTTGTGGATATGAAGTCATGCCGGCGCAGGTTCTCAGGGTCATGTTACAGTAATGGGGTGATAAAGGTTTAGTATGTGTGGCGTATAGCCTAGGACAAGATGGTTGCCCGAGTGAAGGTGAAACAACAGTCCTGTGTTGTCTCGGCGAGCTCAGTCCGGTTAGTGAGAGAGCAGAGGACGCACTTTTAGGCAGCAGTATCGTGGACCCTAGGCAGGCATAGCAGTATGCACGTAGAGATTTGGTAAGGGTTGGTCCCGGCTACCATGGTCGAGGTTAGGTGGGGCAGGTGTGTTACATAAGCCAACTCAACCTCTGCATTCAATGCTAGTTCCAATGGAATGGATTCTACATTTGGAATTAACGTAATCACATTTTGTCGTCAGCCATGCATACGTGATCTCTGATTTGTGTGAAGTTAAAGTAAAGCACGATATTTAGCGTTCACGCTAACCTGATATCCGTGCCAAGGCTTAGCTTATTAAGCTAAGTCAGCTGCGCTGACACTCGCCTGCGGCGAGTGCCGACGCTCCCAACGATATTACCGTCCCAACGATATTTTTTTGTAACTCTATCACTTAAATCTATTCTTGTATCCCCCACAATGGCCCAATTACAAATCTCAGTTAACAATCGTATTAAAGAGATCTTAGAGTCTATCAAAGATATTGCAAAGCCCAATTTTAAGCAGCTTGCGCGTGAATACGGTNTTCCATACCAGCGATTACTCGCCCGATCAAAAGGCCGCCCAACACGCTCTAAGCGTCCCTCTAATAGGTATAAGCTTGTTAAGGCGCAAGACCAAGCGCTATACGATTATATCGCACGCCTTAATAAACTTAGCGTTTATGTACGACTGCCTATAATTATATCGTGTGCCAATTATCTTCTTCAATAAGCTCATGATAGTCCTAGTCCTCCACCAACTACAAGCTCGCGATAGGCAAAACAATAGCTTAAACGACAACCCGAGCTTCACGTACAGCGACAGAGATCTCTTAATCTTAATCGCGCACTTGCGCATGACTCAGACTCTATTATAGAGTAGTTTAACACCTTCATAAGCCTGATTTAGACGCATAGCATCCTACTATTAGATATCTAGAACTTCGACGAGACTAGCTTTCGTATTAGGATCAGAAAAGACTAGTAAGTTATTACTTTTAAGCCTCGCCGCCGTATCTATTTACCAACGCCTAATAATTATACATTATTAACTATAACTGAGTGCGTCAACGCTGCAGGCCACTCTATCTCACCAATGATTATCATTGAAGGCGACGCGCTCCTTAAGCGCAACTTTACTAATTTACCCAATAACTATCTAATCGCCTATAGCAATACTAGCTATATAAACGATTAATTAAGTTATGAGTAGGTAAAGTACTTTATATAATAGAGCTAGAAGCATATTTAAGAGGTATATTGGCTGCTTTTGTTCAACGGATTTGATTCACACTGCACCNAAGAGTTTCTAGAAGTCCTTAAAGATCATAAGGTTATTGCCTATCGCCTACCTCCACATACGTCTTACTTTCTCTAACCACTTAATATAGACTGTTTCTAGCCGTATAAGCACTGGCACGCGCAGGCTATTAATTATACAACCTAAACAGGCTGTATAGCTTTCAACAAGGTTAAGTTCTTAGCTGCTATTAAGTCAATCCGCGTCTATACATTCAAGTCCTATACAATACAAAAAGGCTAGCGGGACTTAGGATTATATCCGTTAGATATCAAGCGCGTCAAGAATAATATACAGAGAGATTTTACTAACTAGGACGCTGATTGCTAAGATGCTAGCAGTAATAATAGTAGTAATAGTAGTAGCTGTAACGGCGCAGGCAAGACTGTTCGGATCAGTATCGGCAGTAGTGTCACTCAGAGGCATATGGGAGTGCGTGGGACATCAAACGAGCCTTGATTCGAACAGATACCTATAGGCCTTGTACGAAAGGATATCAAAA